TTACATTTTAGGCACGCCTCTTAGGTGATTTTTTGATCAGACCAGTTTGAAGAACACTGGTCTAATGAGTAGGATGGGTAGACTCTGAGGTTTGAGTCCAAGCGGCACAAAGATGCTCAAAGGGAAAAAAAATTAGAGACTACAGAGTAGGGGGTGGGAAGGCCCTTGAGACAGTTGCTGAGAGAGACCAGGGCTTACACATGACTCAGGGCCCTCAGGGGTGGGGACCAGGATGCCGGAGGGCTTCTCTGTCTCACCACTTGAAGATGAGGTTGAGCCACTCGGTGATGAGGCTGATCCAGAGCACCGCGATGCCCACACGGCGGGACGCGTAGTAGGCCGCGGGGAAGTAGAACAGAAAGAGGATCTTGGGATCGCCCAGAAAGGTGACCCAGAGCCACACGTTCTCCAGCCAGGCTAGCTGGTTCTGTAGCGCCTCGGCTATCACGATGCCCACGCCCAGCGTGGACTCCATGGCGGCCCAGCTACCGACGAGGCCAGGGCTTGCTTCAGGACGGAAGCCAAAATGTCCAGACACCCAAGCAGCGTCGGCCCGCGGCTCTCTAAAGCCCACCCCTCTGAGTCCGAGGCCCCGCCCCGCCAGCGGTCATCACCAAGCCCCGCCCCCGGACCCGCCCCCGGCAGTCCCCGGCTCCTGCAAGACCGGCCTCCAGTCGGTACTGTTTCCTCCTGCGCTCTCCTCCGGTTTTCCTTCCTACTGGGCAGCGTAGGGGACAAACCTTTATAAAGGCGTTTCCTCAGGGCCCCACGTGGCCGCTGTTGCCGGCACGTGGGCAGCCGGCTAGCGGCGGCACCGGTGCTGTTCCGGGTCAGGGGACGGACTAGCCGGCGGGCTGCCCGCGCTCCCAGCGTCCCTGCTCTGCTGATGCGAAGGCAGATATGTAATCTCCAGGGCCAGGATTCTTTCCCGACCGGACCCCTCTTCTCCAGTACCAATACCCACCAAAAAAAAAAAAAGCAAAAAAAAAAAAAAAATCTGAGATCCTCTGGAGAAAAGGCTGCAGACAGCCCCTCCTCCTGGGAGCTGAAGCGGGATCCTAAATTTGGATACACACCTAATCAGTTCACCCCATACTCGCCTACCTCAAGACTCTTCCTTTCTAAATCGCCCGCTATTAATTTGGAGGCTGACAGATAAATCTCTTGATTTTGAGGGGTCTTCCCTAAAAAGGCGAATTCTCACATATAGCGCAAAGTCACACTTCCTCCCAGTTCTTCCCTTGCTTCCCCCACCCCCATGTTCCTGCCATCCAAAACCCTGCTTAGGCAGATGAAACCAAGAGATAGTAACAGTGTTGGTATGGGAAGAGGATTGGCACACACCCGCGACAGAGTTTGAAACAGTCATCTGGAAGAACACACATAGAAAATAGAAATCTCAGCTATTCTAGGCGAGGTCCTGCCTAGAAGACTGTTGAACAGTGTCTCCTTAGTTTCTTCCTACCTCGATCAACTTTGTTCTTGAAAAGTTTTGTTGTTGTTGTTGTTGTTTGTTTTTTGCCAGGCGCGGTGGCTCACAACTGTAATCCCAGCACTTTGGGAAGCCAAGGCGGTCAGATCATGAGGTCAGGAGTTCCAGACCAGCCTGGCCAACATAGTGAAACCCCATCTCTACTAAAAATACAAAAATTATCTGGGCGTGGTGGCATGCACCTGTAGTCCTAGCTACTAGGGAGGCTGAAGCAGGAGAATCGCTTGAACCCGGGAGGCGGCGGTTTCGGTAAGCCAAGATGGCACCACTGCACTCTAGCCTGGGCGACAGGGACAGGGCGAGACTCCATCTCAAAAAAAAAAAACAAAAAAAAGGAAAGTTTTTTTTTTTTGTTTTTGAGAGGGATCTTCGTTCTTGTCTTCTATGCTGGATTACAGGCCCGCGCTACCACGCCCGGCTAATTTTTTTTTTTTTTTTTGATTCTTGTCTTCTATGCTGGATTACAGGCCCGCGCTACCACGCCCGGCTAATTTTTTTTTTTTTTTTTGAGACGGAGTCTCACTTTGCTGCCCAGGCTGCAGTGCATTGGCAAAATCTCGGCTCACTGCAACCTCCGCCTCCTGAATTCAAGCAATTCTCCTGCCTCTGCCCTACAGTAGCTGGGATTACAGGCATGCGCCACCACGTCTGGCTAATTTTTGTATTTTTAGTAAAGATGGGGTTTCACCATGTTGGCCAGGCTGGCCTCAAACTCCTAACCTTAGGTGATCCAACCACCTCAGCCTCCCAAAGTGTTGGGATTACAGGCGTGAGCCACAGCGCCCAGTTCTTTAAAAGTTTTCTAATAGGTAGATTAAAATGATAATGTAAATCTGTGTTCTTCTCCGAAAGAGATTAATTTCACTAATTAGAAAAGTGTAGGGGGCCAGGTGCGGTGGCTCGCACCTGTAATCCCAACACTTTGGGAGGCGGAGGCAGGCAGATCACTTGAGGTCAGGCGTTCCAGACCAGGTGGGTCAACATGGTGAAACCCCGCCTCTACTAAAAATACAAAAATTAAGCCGGGCACAGTGGCTCACACCTATAATCCCACCACTTTGGGAGGCCAAGGCAGGCGGATTACAGGTTCAGGAGTTCCAGACCAGCCTGGTCAACATGGTGAAACCTCGTCTCTACTAAAGATACAAAAAATTAGCTGGGCATGGTGGCGAGTGCCTGTAATCCCAGCTACTCGGGAGGCTGAGGCAGGAGAATCGCTTGAACCCGGGAGGCAGAGGTTGCAGTGAGCCGAGATTGAGCCATTGCACATCAGCTTCAGCAACAGAGCAAGACTCCGTCTCAAGAAACAAAACAAAAAATTAGCCGGGCATGATGGCAGGTGCTTGTAGTCCCAGCTACTCGGGAGGCTGAGGCATGAGAATCGCTTGAACCAGGGAGGCGGAGGTTGCAGTGACCCGAGCCCGCACTACTGCACTCCACCCTGGGCGACAGAGGAAGACTCCGTCTCAAAAAAAAAAAAAGAAAAAAGATGCTGGGTGAGGTGGCTCACACCTGTAATCCCAGCACTTTGGGAGGCCAGGCAGGGCGGGTGGATCACCTGAGGTGGGGAGTTGGAGACCAGCCTGACCAACATGGAGAAACCCTGTCGCCACTAAAAACACAAAATTAGCTGGGTGTGGTAGCACATGCCTGTAATCCCGGCTACTCAGGAGGCTGAGGGAAGTGAATCGCTTGAGCCCGGAGGTGGAGGTTGTGGCGAGCTGAGATTGTGCCATTGCATTCTAGCCTGGGCAACAAGAGCAAAACTCCCTGTCAAAAAAAAAAAAAAAAAAAAAGGGTAAGGGAGGGAAGCTGGATATAAATCTTAGTTTATTGCCTTCGTAGTGAACAGAATTTTTATTCCTGTTACAATGATTGTACCAATACCTCCAACACCAGGAAGTTGTTTTTTTTTGTTTTTTTTTTTGAGACGGAGTATCGCTCTGTCCCCCAGGCTGGAGTGCAGTGGTGCGGATCTCGGCCACTGCAAGCTCCGCCTCCCGGGTTCACGCCATTCTCTTGCCTCAGCCTCCTGAGTAGCTGGGACTACAGGCGCCCGCCACCACACCTGGCTAATCTTTAGTATTTTTAGTAGAGACTGGGTTTCACCATGTTAGCCAGGATGGTCCTCGTGATCTGCCCGCCTCGGCCTCCCAAAGTGCTGGGATTAGAGGTGTGAGCCACCGTGCCCAGACACCACCAGGAAGTTTTTAATTGCCCAAGGAGAAAGCCTACATTGTTTACTGAGTCTTTGAAAGTTTGCTCTGGATCTAGCCTCAACCTTCACCAGCCTATTCCCACACTCTGCTTTGTAATATTTCTGAGCTATACATTCCTTGAAAACACTAAGTTCTCTCATCCTAGGGGTCCTGGCCCATGCAGTTCCCTCTGCCTGGAACATGGCCACTCTTTTTCCTTGCTAATCCTTCAGGTCTCAGTAGGTATTTTTCACTTCCTCCAAGAAGGCCTTTCCTAATGGCTCCTAGAAGTCTTTTATGAAAACCTATAATCATGATTCCATATAAAAAGTGGAAAACTGGAATGGCGATTATGTATGATTTGTTATGGAGGACAGGACAAAGATGAGAGGCATGAAAATTCTGAGGCTGGCCACAATGGCTTATTCTTGTAATCCCAGCACTTTGAGAGGCCGGCCGAAGCAGGACGATTGCTTGAGCCCAGGAATTTGAGACCAGCCCGGCCAACATGGTGAAACCCCATCTCTACTAAAAGTACAAAAATTAGCCAGGCATGGTGGCTCGCGCCTGTAAACCCAGCTACTCAGGAAGCTGAGGCAGGAGAATCGCTTGAACCTGGGAGGTGCAGGTTGCAGCGAGCCGAGACAGCGTCACTGCACTCCAGTCTGCGTGACAGAGCGAGGTTCTGTCTCAAAAACAAAACACAATAAAACAAAAAAAGTTCTCTGAAAAAGCACACTATGAAGGAGCAGAATTTTTATTCCTATTACAATGATTGTATCAATACCTCCAACACCAGGAAGTTTATGTTTCTTGGAGGGCAAGGAAGTACTTTTGAACTTTGTTCAGGTTAAGCTGCGCCAGGACTGGTCCTTTGCCTCCCTCTGGACTACAGAAGGGTCAACCTGTTTCTCATACATGAAGTGAGGATCCAAAATTTCTATAGTGGGGGTGGGTGGATTAGCGACAGCAATTGGTAGGGCTTGAAAATACATGCACATAGTCCTTTACATAAGATTAAGAAAATGACTGTTTTGTATATCAGATGGACATTAAAGGGCAGGGGTGCAATACCCCTCCTCCAAGTTCCTCTTTGTCACTATCTGCTGCTCCTCATTCCTGCCTTTTGCCTGGCTTTCTGGGGGAGAGGGCAAAAAGGAAGAAGGGGAAGTGTCTTGACTTCTAAGAATAATGGATGACTAAAGGGGAACTACCATTTATTAAAGACCTAGTACATGCCATGCACATATACACGTTATCGCATTTAAACCTCCTAACTATGAGGTAGGTATTATTATCTAACACAGTATAGCAGTAAATAGCACTGTCCCTGTAAATAGGTAGACTGTTTTTGCTAGTTGTGGAACCGTGGACAAGTTTAGTCTAAAACTTAGTTTCTGTAAAAGGAGGACATTGATACCTACCTCAAAGGGCTGTTAGATGCTCAAGAAGTGACAATACAAATGCCTATGAAGAAACAGGATCAGGTAATTTGCTTACTCAAGGTCAGGTGATTTAGTAATAGGTTGACCTGGGATTCTGGTTCCGGCTTATCTCACTCCACAGCCAATGTTCTTTCCACTATCACTCTCTAGTTACAATCATCTTTTTTTTTTTTTTTTTTGAGACGGAGTCTTGCTCTATTGCACAGGCTGGAGTGCAGTGGCACGATCTCGGCCCAGTGCAACCTCCGCCTCCCACGTTCGAGCGATCCTCCAGCCTCAGTCCTCCTAGTAGCTGGGATTACAGGCACGCGCCACCATACCCGGCTAATTTTTGTATTTTTAGTAGAGACAGGGTTTCACCATCTTGGCCAGGCTGATCTCGAACTCCCGACCTCAGGTGGTCCACCTGCCTCGGCCTCCCAAAGTGCTGGTATTACAGGCGTGAGCCACCGCTCCCGGCCGTTATAATCATCTTGTCCAAGTATTGTTAAGTTCTCTGAGGCTCTGATTCCTTATATGCAAAATGGGGTTAATGTATTTTATAAAATTCATTCACTAAACTCTTGTGTGGAAGGTGTGCATATAATGGAGACTGCAGCTCTCTCCTCTTTCCCCCTTTCATTCCACGTAGGTCATTTATCCTTAACTTCTAAAATGGACTCTACAAGCATTTAACCGAGCGGACGCAGCTACATAAATATTTTTCAGATTCCCCTTTATTTCCTCTTCTTCCCTAGTCCACCTAGGCTCCCTATCCACCCAGCGTCAGACCACGCCCCGGCGTGTGACGCAAGCACGCTCCGTGCGTCGCGTCGCGTCGCGTCGCGGCGCTCACTAGGGGCCCGGCTTTCGCCCGCTGCTGCCGCCGCCGCCGCCGGCCGCGGCTGCACTCCCAAGATGGCGGCTCCTCCGGGCGAGTACTTCAGCGTTGGGAGCCAGGTGTCGTGCCGGACGTGCCAGGAGCAGCGGCTGCAGGGCGAGGTGGTAGCCTTCGACTACCAATCCAAAATGCTGGCTTTAAGTATCCTTCCCTGCGTGAAGCCCGAGTCCGGGCCGGCGTGTAGGTGCGGTGGTCGGGGGGTGGGGGACGACGGCGGCGGCTGGGGCTCTCTCCGGGCCTAGGGGCGACCGGCTACCGCGGCGCCCGGGGCGCATGCGCATGGCCCTGAGTTCCCCTCCCCCTCCCGCGGGCCCTTCGGTCAGCTTTGGGGATCCTGTCTCCCCTTGCAGGAGCTGGGGCTTTACCGAGGATCAGTGGGTGGAGGAGGGCTTGACACGGGGATGGCTTTTCGGGAAGAACGTTATGAGAGGGGACACAGTGATTAGGAGAGGGGGTGGTGTTGGGAGGGGGCTGGTGGATTGGAGCCCGGATGGAAAGGAGGGGCGGGTGAAATATTACGGGGAGGGGTGTTTAGGGTAAGGAACTGCTGGTAGGGCAAAGGTATAGAATTTAGGAGGGCATGTGCACTGATGGGATTTCGTCCAAGGAAGGGCGGTGGGATGGTGACCAAATTGGTCCTTGCCTGTTTTGGGGGAGAGTAAGTGCAGGGCAGAGTTTGTATCTGAACTGGGGATAGTGGCTTGTTTCGCTGATGCGTGTGTATGTGTGGTGGTGGGGGGGCTGTTCTGACTTTTAGGCTTCTCGGTCATTTGGAAATCGCTGTTTGGGGGATGTTTGCATTGGAAACCTGTTCCAGAGAGGGCTTGCCGGGGCTTATGTGGGTTGGGGATGTGTGAGTTACAGGTGAAAGAGTGAAGTTCTCATGCTGCCTTGATCAGTCCAGCACATGGAGTCCTTTTACGTAGTAGTAGCAGCCTCCCTTTTGAAAGCAGCAATGTTAAATTGATTGGAAAAGGTGGCCTGCTTCTTTGGGGTGGGAATGACTTCTGAAGTACTCCAGGAAACTCAGTCTTGGAAACGAAACGCTTCCTTGTTGGGATAAATGTGCTACAGCTTCCCCTTTTATGGGAGCTACAGGTGGGTTTATTGGAATCTTGAAGGAGTAATTTTTTATGGTATCTTTTTTTTTTTTTTAAGATGGAGTCTCGCTCTGTTCCTAGGCTGGAGTGCGGTGACGCGATCTTGGCTCACTGCAGCCTCCGACTCCCTGGTTCAAGCGATTCTCCTGCCTCAGCCTCCGGAGTAGCTGGGATTATAGGCACGTGCCACCACGCCCAGCTAATTTTTGTATCTTTTTTTTTTTTTAACAGATACGGAGTATCACCATGTTGGGCAGGATGGTCTCGAACTCCTGACCTCGTGATCTGCCCGCCTCGGCCTCCCAAAGTGCTGGAATTACAGGCCTGAGACACCGCCCGGCTTTGTTTTTTTTTTGTTTTGTTTTTGTTTTTTGAGACGGAGTTTCACTCCTGTTGCCCAGGCTGGAGTGCAGTGGCTTGATTTGAGCTCACTGCAACTTC